TCGCTGTATCTGCGACACAACGATCGAACCGGAGCGTGGTTCATCCGTCCAGTGTGAATCATGTCTTGCATGGCAGCATGCAGGCTGCTTCGGAATCAAGGAGGAGACCCTGGAAGGCCTGACTTATTTCTGCCACCTCTGCAAAGGAGGAAGCTACAATCGAAATGAGGAATATATCGCGTACGTCAAAGACCTGGAAACTCGTTTAATGAGCGGCGAAGTGGTCAGCGGTATTCTGAGCGTAAATCCGACATTGCAATTAGTGTCAGAGACAGCGGTCCAGAGAGATGGCAAGAAAACAAGGGGGAGTGCGCGAGGTCGCCCACGCGCCAGGGAAAACAGCAATGTATCTGGAACTCGACCATCTGTGCCGCCTACCGAAGCAGTAACAGAGGGGCCTGTCCTAGAGCATGAAGTGGCGGTCTTGCCAATTGTGGCAGAGAAACCATTTTCTGCCACTACCACAATACCAAAGCCCCAGCGGAGAAAAACCGGAACGGCAAGGGGAAGCAAATCCAAAGTCAAGGATGGTATGGCCGCGACACCTGCTGAGCTTCCGACTACCCCTCTCGTGTGGTCAAATAGTAATCGACCTGCGACTGGGACCGCAAGTAGGCCGACCACACATTCCCCTGATCGCGAGCCGCAATCCGCCACAAGAGAAAATACTGCTGTGTCTGCTAGTGCAACAATGATCACGGAATCGAGTGCACCTCTTCGATTGCTCGAATTCATCCCCCTCAAAGAAAACATGATACGCGGTCAAGCGGTTAAACGCACGGTATACAAGCTTCTGGAGGAGTGGGCCGAGTTGGAGGGCGAGACTCCAGCACGTCCGTTAAAGAATGGGGTTCACGCTTCGGAAAATTTATCAACAAAAGGTCCGGCAGAACAGTTGGGCGAGGCAGATATACAAAATACCGGGGAGCCAATGCTAAAGGCGGTGAACCTTCAAGAATTCTCCCGAGACATCCTTGGTCCGCCGATACCTCCAGTTATCATCCATTCACGCAGCCTAGAAGACGCCGCCGTGCCAACCTATGTCAAAGCCAAGGATAAAGACGAGACCTTCTTCTTCCCTCCCGGCCGTGCATTTCTTAGCGTGCCTGATCCGAAAGACGCTCCGTCGACTACCCCTATTCGTCCTTCTGTGGTATACGGTGTGCATGTGCGACGAACAGCAGTGTCCGGAGAATTCTTAGGAGAGCTAAAGGGAGAAGTCAAGGATTCGGAAACATATCATCGGGATCCAATCAACCAGTATGCGACCCTGGGAATCACGAAACCCTTTACCCGACGACTGGGCCCACCCGTGGACCTCGTGATTGACGGCAGAATATACGGCAACGACATGCGTTTTGTGCGATCGGGATGTCACCCAAATGCAGTCTTCCGACCAATCATCCTTCAGAGGAAAGCCGGCAAGGAACCATCCCTGTGCTTTGGTATATTTGCGATAACCACCATCCCCGCTGGCCAAGAGGTCATATTGGGGTGGGAATGGGACGATGATCACGTTATTCATGCTTTAGCTGCTGATGTCCCCAGCATCACAAAAGGGAGTCGATTGCAACATCGCTTTGCACTGGTTGCTAGCCATCTGCTTGGCAGCTTTCGATCATGCGCTTGCGATGACGATACTACATGTGTATGGATGAGGTTGATGCAGCTTAGTGTCGCCGGACAACCCATTCCTTCACTCAATTTCCGGCCGAATAAAAAGAGTAGGAAAGCAAAGGACTTTCCAGCGGGATTTGGCCCGCTCGTGGGCGCAGTGAGAGGTTGGCGACGAAACGAGATTACAAGGTTTGAGGCGGAATTGGAACGCGAGCTGATGGAGAAGCACAATTCAGTATTCGAGGTTGAACAGCGCGAAATGGAGGATATGGGTCGTACAGATAGTCCTGCACTTGAGTATCACGTGTCGGAAGAGCGGCAAAGCGACACAGAGGAAGAGATAGAGGGTTATGCGGAGGAGTCGATTGGTGTGGCTGGGTCTAGTGACAGCGAGGAGCATTCAGAGGGGCCAACGGCAATGGACCTCGTGGAAGACAGCGTACGTCACATTCACTTTCAAGCTGCTTCTCTTGTTGATGCGATATCTTTGAGACAGGATGCGGAGGAGACATATTCACCTGGAAGCTTTGGCAGAATTTCACTTCGGGCGACTGAGAGGAACCTCGACGCTTCTGACGAAGACGAAGACGCAGGACCCGAGGACCTTCCAGGACCTGAGCATGACGGAGAGGACGTTGACATGGATAAAGACAATGGCGATTCAGCAATTACGCACATGGATCATGCGGACGTACAGACTGCGGAAGAACGACATGAACGGACGCCTGCATCAGCGGAACCCACTGGTCTCCAACCAATCGCCGGAACCACACCTCTGCCATGTGCCGATACCGTGAAGCTAGAAGCCAACGGCGATAAAGCGATATCAGAGGGCGATTTCTCCCCGGTTCTTCACGACGAGCCGACCACCCTGCAGATTGGTAGAACCGCCGAGGAGGACTCTCCATTAACTTCGGCTGATCCAAGGGACACCCCTTCACCACTGCTGCTTTCTGCCAACGATGCTTTTCCGAGTCAGATGACTGACGACCGCAACAAGTACGATGACAGTGAAGACGAAGAAAATGGGAATCTCACCGACGTTACTGCTTCGACGATACCACTCTCGCATGATTCCGACGTCGAAGACAACTCCGGTTCGGAGCGGGAATCCATCTCAACGCTGCGATATCAACCAGCAGTGCCGCAGCGGAAGAACGAGGAGATCAATGTTTCTCCTTCACGTCAGACGTCACCTGCGAATGACAGACCTGTGAACACGCTGTATCGGAGAAGAAGGGTCTTATCACCGAGTCCTCCCATTGACGAATCAGAGCGCGATATTGCAACACCATTCAGTGTCAAAGCGTTGTCAACCTTTCGCAGGAGTCCAGAGAGAGCGCCGTCATCATCTCTGTCGCCCGTTTTGCCTAGCAACAGTCTAGCCGATATGTTCAATGAAGAGGAATCGCGGGCAACCCCTCGTGATGGGCGACCTACACCAGCGAAGCAGGACGAAATCTCTTCAACTTCGCCCAGAGCAGATTCGCCGGGGAAAGAACTGCCGGCACCTGAGCCTCTTTTGCATCAGCCAGTCTCGCCAGCGAGCGGGAACGCTGTTGCTTCCCCGGATCCGCTCAACGAAGACAATTCGAGGTCTGTCACCATGGAGTCCACTTCGGCGGAGACGCCGCAGGGTCTTCATGAGATGGGTGACGAGCAACCCTCGGAGTCAGCAGCAACTGCGCAACCCGAAGGTCAGCCAGTGACGCAGGCCTGCAGCGAACCAGCACCTGCACCGAAGAAACGAAGGTTGGATCTCAAGAAGTTCATGACTGGCAAGCGTACCAACGTGCTAGAGGCAAATATTCCCCCCTCTCAGGTGACAGATGATTCGAGTCTCAATGAATTCCCGACAGCTGCGACTTCTCAATCGAGTGTCATCGCGAACGACTCTCCGGTGGCTAGCGACCTTCCTCCTCCAGTAGCCGTTCCGCCACCTTTGTCGCCCCCACCGCCACCTCCTGTGCCGAGTCCCGCGGTGCCGGATGTTCCGGAGATGAGCAAGAGCAGTGAAACACCGTGGTGGACAGCCACATCCACATCACGGCCGTCTTTCAGCTCTCTGTCTGAGACGCGACCGAAAGTTGCCAATGTTTCCGGGGACTCGAATCCCGCGGTAGCTTTCAACTCCGCTTCACCTGATATTTATTCGAACGTGGAACGAGTGTTGGAAGACGAGAAGGCAATTATCGATTCTCTGCCTGTCACCCTTCTACCGCAACCAAATTCAACTGCGAGGCCTTGGTCATTAATCGAAGTCGAGGACAAGGAGGAAGAGACAAACGGATTCGATCGCAACGCATTTTCGACGTTTTCGTTGGCCCCTGAAAATGGTGTCGTCGCGACTATGCCGCCAACGCTCACACCGCGACCGGAACCGCCAAAGGCTTTGACATCCCCATTCGACTGGCATTCCAAACTACCGACGACCAATATTGCTTCGCATTGGTCAAAGATTCCGCCAGCACTCGAGCAAAAAGACTTACCTCCTCATGTCGATCCGGACAGTCGCCGAAGTGGCAGATTTGGTTCAATGTCTTCCGCTTCAAGATCGCCGCCGAAAAGCAATCTGCTACTCATGTCTCCACAGCGCATTCCGCCTGCAGGGCCGAGAGCTTCTCTTGCTCCGGTCAGACCTCTGGACACCAAGGACACTCGGGATTTGCTGCGAGATCGTGAGGTCGATCGCGAAAGAGATATGCGCGAAAGAGAACGGGAACGGGAGGTGCCGAGAGGTCCGAGAATGGAATACCGTGGACGAGGCGGTGCGCCGCGAGGAACGGCATTCACACCACGCGGCACGTGGCATGCTGATTCTTACCGTGGTAGGGCGCGGGGAACCGGGGAGTTCAGAGGGCGTGGTTTCTTTCCGCGAGGACGAGGAGCATTCTTTAACAATCGAGGACGTGGCACGTGATACGTGGCAATAATATAGTAGCAGCAGAAGGGCCTACTCTCAACATTAACCGCTGAAACAGCATCACTACCGTTGTATATGGATATACAGGATTCCGTGGCATACGCAAACATCATCGCATATAACAAAAGCAAACAGCGGCAGGCTGGGTGTTTTCCCGGCCCTTCACGATGATCTAGAGAATGGAAATAAAAAGGTATGATTACAGAGCGGGACAGCTAGTAGCGGGACATAATAAAGCCGCGAACCTGCCTAGCTACCTGCCTTTCTGATTGGTGAGAATATGCCTGTCGCCATTAATGGATCCAAAAAACGGATGTCTGAATTATCTGAATGAGACCTTGCTTCACTCCCTGACAACTGAACTGCTCACTCGTCATCAGTAACAGCAAAACTGTGATAGTTGAAAACAGGACGGACTCAAGAAGTCTTTCAGACGGACGTGGAAAAAAGATATCTCTTTTGACCCTACTGTGAATCGAACACAGGCTTAGGCAGAACAGTAGGTGACGAACACCGAAACCACAATGCCTCGTCGTAACCACTTGACTATAGGATCCGATGATAAACGGTTAATGACTCCACCATTATGTCGTTTGATCGATGACAAACTTGCTCGATCTATTCTGCCGTTTCCCTTTCCGACCGCCTCCCTCTCCGAGTCTAGATGTAAAGGGTATGACGGACGAAGTGACTCAGCTTGACCAGGACTTCTGTCGGACAGACTGGTCTCAACAGTCGAGTTTGGTCACTCACAGATGTCCCACGTCTGCGAGAATTCGCAGTCTGAATCCTGGTAATTTTATCCGGCAACATATACCAGTGTTCAGAACCCGTATGGATGGTATGTACGAATGCACACAGGCACTTCATGGATATAGGCATATTACTGGTGTCAATGACTATACTGCATTCCCGTGTGGCCCATTTCTCATACAAGTGCGATCCACAAATAATGATATGGTCTCGGTGAAGCAACCTCTGACACAAGAATTACAATTCCTGCCGTCCCATATTTACTTGACCCGGAGCCGCATCTGCAACGCCCTTTGAACTCTCAGTGGTCCCTACGACATGAGGTATACTAGCGGGTACAGCATCTGGTGCGCCACCAACGGTGCTGGGCGGTTCACACGGTTCGGGAATGGGGGTTGATTCATCGATTGGCGGATGTTCGACCGTTCCGACCTTGTGATATTTCGCATGTTTGGCAAAGAATGTCTTCCAGTTAGAGAGAGCGCCGAGTTCCTTGGAACTCAGACCACGTAAGTCGTGCGTCAAGTGTGTTTGGAAACAACCGGTGATAAATGCTCGAGAGGCATCGCGGCCAGCCCTACATGCAGATTGGCATTAGTGTTCCATTGGTATCTGTAAGCGATGGTTTGACACTCACATGACGTGGTATGGACCAAGGGGACCATAAATTCTTCTTGAAGCCGTGACATCGTACACGTCGCCGTCGATACCCAAGTATACTGGTTTCGAAGCGTCCTGGCCGTCGAAGGCGGATAATTCCGCAGGAGTGAATGCCTTTTGAGGCTGTAATTGCAGTAAATTTGAGCATAGGCCGGACCAACTGAAGAAGCAGGAAACCTCGGCTCACCGTGACCAAACTTCGGTACGTTTTCACTATCTGATCCTCGAAGCCCCAGAAAGGACTTTTTACCAAGAAGTTGCCCAGCGCCATAATTCCCGCAATGAGAATCAAGAACCACTTGAAAATCCTCCATGGCGTCCACTGCTTTTTAGGACTTATTTTCCGGAGAGGTTTCTCGCCGCGGGCTTTTCTTGCCTTTCGTTCCACCTCTTCTTCCTTCCAGCGTTGATGGGCCAGGAAAGGCCCGTTTGCTGGTTTCTTGGAGACGAGTCGACCGGTGCTGAGAATGCAGGTCGAGGGTCAATTGGCTGGACACACGTCTCCCAGCTTTTTGAGAACGCACCCGTCTCGAGTTTTCTCATATGACACCTCGCCCGGAGCTTGACCGGGTAGACTTCTTGGTCGAGGATTTCCTGAAACCGGCGATACATATCAGATAACAGCCGGTAATGGATTACTAGGTGTTACGCATACCTCCTGTGAAGAGGTCCTCGTCGGCGACCGCTACTGAGACTGCTACTTTAGGCGATGTCTGCGTACACATAAGATCATCAGCTTCGGGTTGACATGCAAAGTACTGAAATACGCGAGGCTGTCCTTACTTCGTTTACAGAAGACATTCTTTAAGATACGGAAGAGAGCCGGTGGGCGAGACTGTTCACAAGAGCGCTCACCGATTGAGTAATGAATGGACCCGTATGGCAGTATTCCTTCGTGCAGTTGGATCGCCTGTCGGTGATAGGAAACTGGAAGGAGAACAGTAAAGTATGACTGAAATCCGCAATGGAACAGACCGCCCGACGACAGCTCCGACGACTCGAAGACGTTCGCATGGGTCATGTTTGCGGGGCTCGAAAAGGGACCGTAAGAAGGCTCGATCGTTATTGGCTACACCGGAAGGAGCAGGATAATGGTAGTAGCCGCGATCCCTTTTGCCTTCGATTGATTATCTGGTTGAACTGGTCCGTGTCTGTGTGTCTATCGATTTGAGGGAGAGACAAGACCCCCAGACTGCGAAGGCTGGAACTCTAGAGGATGCGACATACGAAGCAAGGTCCGCCTGCAAACCACCAGTATGTTATCGCACGGTCATGGTCATATCACAACCTTTTCTCGGACTCGAAGTGGCCATCATTTTCGGAAATTAGTACAACGTTACAGATAACATCTAAATCTAATACAAATCGCCTATCTTTTCGGTGAAGGACACAAAAGCAGAAGGCAGTTTACGGCAAGAGCGAGCACTCCAGCGTATGTCCATCCTTGCCATCCTTGACCCAGGAATCGGAACATCAAGGCAAAGATGATGCCTCCCAGGTTACCGAAAGCGCCGACGAGGCCGCTCATAACACCGTTGTTGAAGGAATTGCAGTGCGGTACCTGAAACACAAAAGGAATCAAGTAAGCTTTTAACGGTCTAGTGTGCATCAGATCGCAGTCGGAACTTACCAGTGCAAAGTTGGCGCCATTCGCCATTTCATTGCAGAAAGCGAGGCAGACAATGATACCCATCATTGCACCAATGCTTGGGGTCACTTCCTTCTTCAGTAGCATACCGAAGCCGATTGTAAAAATACCTTGGCCGATGCCTAATCCGAGAGTAAAGTATTTCTTGATTCCCACACCGTATTTGCGGTAGAGCATGTCCGCCAGAATGCCACCCAAAGGTCGAGTCACGATGTTGAGAAGACCGAAAACCGAAGCGTAGTAGCCGGCCTTTTCCATCCCGAGGGTAGGATGCTTTTTGATAATAACGTTGGCGAGGATACTGTCGACAGCGAGCTCGAAGCCAAAGGTGGTCATGTATGCCAAGGATGGGAGCCAGGTGAGAGGATTGGCAAGAATCCGTCCCATTGACTTCATGGTCAGAGGCTCATTGACAGCGACATCAAGCTCGGATTGAACAATGGTGGAATCGTTGATACCTGTTTGTCGGCCTTCCGAAGGGGAAACATGGTCATCGTCGTCTTGCGAAACTTCTTGCACGGTAGTTGACGGCTCTTGCTTCTTGCTCATCATCACACGTTGCTCACTTCGGTCGAGTTTGACTTCGTGACCAGCCATGACAGCGGCTGCTGTCGCGTTGGTCGTGTGCCTCGTGGACCAGGCTCCCGTGGGACAGTCCGTACCGAATACGATGACCAAGACGGCGGTCAAGACCAGAACGGGGACCGGGACGGCAACGAAGGAAAGCCTCCAAGAGGTGTGGACGCTCTTGGTTTCCCGGAACTTGTGGAACAAGCTGACCATGATCGCGTATGTTGCGCTATTTTCCAGAACGAATAGGTGGTCGAAAGTCAGACCTCGCGTCAAACATGATTGGTTGTGCAAAGGACTCACCCGCCACCCGCGTTTCCCCATCCAGCAGAGATGGCATTCGCTGTCCCAACCGTCTACAACGCAAGCTGATTCTGTCAGTTTGGATGTCGACTGAATGGAGGGCCGCCACAACTCACCTCCTTGCTGAAGAAGGCAGTGGTCCAGGCGACACATGGAACCTGCAGAATTGGAATTTGGATTCAGCGATGCGTTCGGCATCATAGCTCGCGATAGTCGACTACGTACAAAGGTGGACCCCAGCACACCGATGAAGAATCGACACACCAATAAACCAGAATAGCTTGAGATGACGGCTGCGAGACCGGAAGGAATGGCGCCGGCAATTAAGATCGCCGCCATGACCCAACGCGCTGTAAGAAACCATAGGTGAGTCTGATGAACAAGCAGAAAGGAAATTGACGAAGTGACTTACGCCCCCATCTATCAACAGCAGGCCCAGTAACGAGTCGCATTACTAGAGTCGCACAAAGCGCCACAATATTCGAGTTGGCGACCTGCACTGTTGTCAACTTCAAGTCCTTGGTGATGGCTTCCGGAAACAACGGCGGAAAGGCGAACCAGGATAAGAATGCGACGAAGAATCCTAGTGTGGCGAGAAGCGGGTTTCGACAGTAAGGCGAGCGCAAATTGAGAAGCGGCAATGTGTACGACTTGAGATTCAGGGGGTTAAGGATGGGTTCTGACCACAGATGGGACAATTTGAACTTGGGCGCGCCACCTCCTTCAAGCACTTCTGCATGCTTTGGTGTTGGTGCCACGAACTCTTGGCTAGCGGAGTGGGAAGACGACATGCCGCCCTTTTCGTCAAGATCGGACATGTTGGATTGGGGAGAGCGGAACTTGGAAACGAGGAGTTCGACTGCTGGGGTGGTTTCTGGGTAGTCTTGCGAAAGATCGGGCTGGTGCATTACTATGTTGGCGAGCTTGGGGGAAGGGGGATGTGTAGACAGACATTTGAGACTGCAATATGGAAAGATCTATATAGCAAACGAGTTCAGCCAAACCACTGAACTGTTCCGCAAATTCCGTAAATGAGAGATCACGAATAATTTTGATCTTATTCTCAAGATAAGTAACTGGTAGTCGGTAGGATAGATAAGTTGATGAGGTATTAGTTTGACGCTAAGAAATTGCCTGGCAAGCAAGCACTGTATGGTAGCGTCCTGTTGATAAGGATCGTCGCATATCTATTTTTGGCTGTTCAAGTAACTACATCAGAGGCAAGCTCTCAGGCGGACCTTTCTGTTGAGTCGGTTTCATAGCTCTACGATTTATTGCTCTGCCCGTCTCATACTGTAGAATCAGCTGTAAGACCGCAACCTGGAGGCAGCTCTGGAGACCCGCAGAGCAGAGCGGCAGCACTTCTGTCTCGAGGCATGGCTACCTGTTGAATCCACCGGGGAACCTTGCTTGGCGAATGAAACTTCTCGGATACCCTCTCAGCTTCAGCTCCCTCTCAGATTAGCGAGTCGCGGCTAGATACAGCCTGACAATGTACTATAGGCTAGTCGTTGTTGAAAATCCCCCAAGTCCGACCAGCTGTTCTACCCCACCAGAAGTGCTACCACATTACCACACCCATGTCTCATAACCCCCTAGTCCGCTTCAAATCAGGCGTTCAA